GTATGAGCCCCAATAAATTGATTTAAAAAAATAATTAATTCCTTTCTAAAGCAATGAGCTCAATATAGTGAAATACAATGGGAAATAGTACTTTCAGAAAACGTTTACCTTCCACAGAAAAGAGATTACGTACTTTTTCCCTTTAGATTAGGGGTGGGGAACTTTTCTTCTGTCAAGAGGGATTTGGATATTTATAATGCCGTTTGTGGGCTATACTGGTCAGACATTTAATTGACTCTCCCTTTCTGTGATGGCTGGAACTGCTTCTGCTTGGGGAGGCATGTGGTATTAACTGGTGCTCACATTTTTGTGCCTTTATATGCCCCTCAGAGGGGCGGGATGGCGAGCAACCCTGCTTTAGATATATATTATTGTTTTAAAATGATCTTTGTCTTCTTTTCCAAAGAAGCAGTTTCCAACAAGAAAATATTTTTGAGAGTTCAATTTCATGGAAATAGCAGAAGTGGAAACTACATTAAGATTAAAATTAAATCCATTGTTTCTCTTATTAACTTTTTAAAATGCTGTGTTTTGAAAATTAGGTAAAGATAATTCGTTCTGATGGCCATCAGTTGACTCTTGAAGAAAGAAGAAATAATGTGATAATAACAGTGACGCAAAGAAATCAAACCTACTACAGGAGCAGATGGAATACTAGAAACCAGGAAGGAGTTGTCGAGATCATGAATTTCACTCTTCCCTCAAATGGAATCTTTAAGATTGAATTCCCAATCCTGGCTGATTCCATGGAGCTTCAATTGAAGGTAACACCATTACCCAGAATTTTGTTACTGTGCAAAAACATCATTATGAGGGTAATCTTGTGGTGGACCTGCAAACTGCTGGAGGCCAAAGTGCATAGGAAATGAGCTCAGTTTCTAATTTGAAAATATGGGCCATGGTAGGGCTTGATCAAGGGCAATGTAACTGAGAGGAATTGCTGAAACCCAAATGAAGGCTGAGCATGATAGTGAGATAAGAGGACAGTAAAAGGAAATATAGGAAAGAAGTAGGAGGCAAAGGGCATTTATAGAGGTCTAAATACAGGCATGTATATATGTAAATATATTTATATACAATGATGGGGAAACAGATTTATGTACATATATTTATAGGTTTAGTATTAAGGTCGCAGATGGACATTGGGCCTCTACTCAAGTACTCCCTCAATTCAAGAACACTTTGTTCTATTAACCTGGCATTCCATGATGCTCACCTTCCCGACACAATCGCTGAAGACAAAAGCAGGCACATAAGCAAATGTGGTGAAGAAAGATGGTGACCAGCTATCAAAAGCTAGACCGTCTGAGGTCTTAAAGGCTCAAAGAGAAACAAGCAGCCATCTAGCTCAGAAGCAACAAAGTCCACATGGAAGAAGCACACCAGCCTGTATGATTACAGGGTATTGTTGGGATCAGGCATCAAAGAACAAAAGAAAAATCACATCATTGTGAATGAGGGGTAGTGCGGAGTGGGGACCTAAAGCCCATCTGGAGGCAACTGGACCATCCCCTTATAGAAGGGTCTTGGGGAGGAGACGAGGCAGTCAGGGTGCAGTGTAGTAACGATGAAACATACAACTTTCCTTTAGTTTTTTAATGTTTCCTCTCCCCCACTATCATGACCCCAATTCTATCTTACAAATCTGGCTAGACCAGAGGATGTACACTGGTACAGCTAGGAACTGGAAACACAGGGAATCCAGGATAGATGATCCCTTCAGGACCAGTGGTGAGAGTGGTGATACCGGGTGGTGGGTAGGTGGGGTAGAAAGGGAGAACCGATCATAAGGATCTACATATAACCCCCTCCCTGGGGGACAGACAACAGAAAAGTGGGTGAGGGGAGATGTCGGACAGTGTAACACATGACAAAATGATAATACTTTATAAATTATCAAGGGTTCGTGAGGGAGGTTAGGCGGGGAGGGAGGGGACAAAATGAGGAGCTGATACGAAGGGCTCAAGTAGAAAGCAAATGTTTTGAGGATGATGATGGCAACAAATGTACAAATGTGCTTGACGCAATGTATATATGTATGAATTGTGATAAGAGTTGTATGAGCCCCCAATAAAATGATTAAAAACAAAACAAAACAGAAACTATGGGCCAGAGTGTTAAAAGCAATCTAAGGACAGCGGCAAAGTGTTAGACTGAGTTAGTGCTTCCTTTTACGTTCAAATTGAAGAGTGTAGAAAATGCAGACTATGAAGATTGTGTTAGTCTGGGTACATTAGAGAAACAAATTCACAGAAACTCATATGTATAAGAGAGATTTTTATATAAAGGGTAAGAAAACATCCCAACCCAGTGCTGCCCAAGCCCACAAGTCCAACATTAGCTCATATGTCCGACACCAATCCACAAAGTCCTCCTCCACCTCATAAAACACACACAATGATGTCGACTGCAGGAGGAAAGCCGAGTCAGTGAATGTGTAAGCATCTCAGCGCTGGCAGGGGTCTCCACACGGCTGCTTCAGCACCCAGGGCTGCATCAGGGTAGGTCCATGTGGCTTCTCCTCAGGGATGTCTTGCAGGAAGTCAGCCTTGCCAGCTGAAGTAGAGAACTGGCTAAGGCAGGTGCACCCTGGTCTGACCATCAAAAAGCAAGAGACCCAAGAACTAGAAAGGTGAGACTCACTGAGCCATTTATCTCTCCGGCCTTCAATTAACCCTACATGTTTTTATTGGCCAGGTTGGCACAATAAGCTTTAACCATCTCAAAGATACAATGGAGAAGCTTGTTAATTCCCCAAGTTAGGTTGACTTTTCAGTCATTTCAAATTCCATTTTGACAGGAGCTGAAATACAAGAGGAATATGTGTGTATGTGTATGTATAAGTATACATATACACATATATATACATACTCAGGGAATAAGAGCTTGGTAAAGGTATATATATATGAGCTTGGTAAAGGTGATTAAGTTAACGTATATAAGTATATAGATGTATAAAAGCTTGGAAAAGGTGTGTAAGTTACTGTATATAAGTATATGTGTATACATACATATACTTATACACCTTTACCAAGCTCTTATTCCCAGAGTGGCTAGCTAAGAATCCTTAGCTATCTGGCTGCTGCGTTTTTGTGTGTGTGTATGTGTGTGAAGATATTTTTGAAGTTTTAAAGCTATCAGCTTCTTTATAGTATTAACCATAGTGTGATGAAGATCTAATATCTGATGAATTAATTTTTTTTCTGCATGGAAAAGAGAGTGTATTTGGATTTTAGTAATTGTTCAGCATCTTTTATCAAGTACTGTTAAAGATGAAAATCAATAACTCCCTTTTCTTCTGTTTTAGGCCCATTTTCTTGATACTGTAAATAGCATGGAAGTTCATGGTATGTTTAAGTCTCCTAGTAATACATACATCCAGCTGAAAATAAAAAATGAAAATATAAAGGTAGTGTTTATAATTCACTTGATAATTACAGATAATTTGGGCTCTCTTGTCATGAATATGTATATACTGATGAAGATTTTTTTTTTCTAGGTGGGATCGCCATTTGAGTTGGTGGTTAGTGGCAACAAACCATTGAAGGAGCTAAGCTATATGGTAATCTCTTGCAGAGTGTAAATTTATAATCTAGTATAGAATCCTCTTAAATGGTGCTTATCATATGTCTAGACTAACTGGATTTTAAAATTCAGCCTGGCTTTTATGCAGGCCGTCCTCTTTCTAGTACACTAAAATATCTTTTCCCTCAGATGTCTTTCAATTCCCAACTTATGAGAAATCATTAAATTTTGCATTATGTTTAAAAAATTTAAGTGATGATTAAATAATATTTATGCTTTTAGAAAAATCACAGACTATAAAGCCACAAAAAGGAAAATGAAGCCAATAGGAGTGCCTTGTAAATTTGCTCAGCCCTCTCGTCCTGTGGTGTTCTCTTCATTCTGACCAAGAGAGTCTGGACTGTGGTACTACTCCCATGCCACGTGGCCGTAGCTAGTAGCTATTTCTGTTTCCCAGTGCATGCCGGTAGACTAAAAAAGACTCAAAGATCTTTGAATTCCCTTTTTCCATGTACTTTTTTGAAGCCTTCTGGTATCTGCTGTGCTTGACAGAGGGGCTTTCTTGACCTCAGAAGGGTTTTGAAGCTCGTTTACATGAAAATGTGTGTATGCGGTTAAAATTATGATAAATACAGCTACACTTGAGATTCTAAGCTTTCTTTTCATATGGAAATTGTTTACTCTTGTTTTCAGGTAGTATCCAGAGGACAGTTAGTATCTGTAGGCAAACAAAATTCAGCAACCTTCTCTTTAACACCAGAACATTCGTGGGCTCCAAGAGCCTGTATTATTGTGTATTATATTGAAGATGATGGGGAAATTGTAAATGATGTTCTAAAAGTTCCTGTTCAGCTTGTTTTTAAAAATAAGGTAAGACTTAAGTGTAACACTTCTTTAGAAAACTATCTTTAAGATAGTTTAGAAATGTATTTTATTTATTTCTCGATGATGATTAAACCTCTTCATATTTAGCTGCTATTTATGCCATTTCCTATGTGAAATTATTGAGCACTCTGGATCTTATTTGTAAGATATGATTCTTGGCTTTAAGACTTGAATGTAAATCCATTCAGGATTTAACTCAGTCATTTCAGGATTCCTCAAAAGGTTGAGACAATATTGCTCTGTCAAGGAATGCCAGTGGTAATATAATTTTTTTTCTTTCTTCGTAATATAAAATTGGTGTAATGTTGACATTGGTGTGAAAATGAAATGAAGAATGTGGGAGAGAATTAGACCATCTGAGACAATAGTCTTGTAGCCAAGTCTTCATTTCGTCTCTTTTTCAGTGTGTCAAATGAAACTACACTCCCTGCTGTCGAGTCTGTTCTGACTCATAGCAACCCTACAGAACAGAGGAGAACGGCTTCCTAGGATTTGTGAGGTTGTTGATCAGAAAGCCTCATCTGTCTCCCTTGGAGCAGCTGGTGGTTGTGAACCTCTGACCTTGTGGTTGGTAACCCATTGCTGAACTCACTGTCCCACACAGGCTCCTTATTTTAGGATTTGGGTGGAGAGAAGTAAACTACAAAGGGTGATCTGACAGGTAGGGCAAAATCGCTGGTACAGTGGAATGCTGATACAGAGCTGGATCAAGGAAAATTGATCACTAGTAGGAAGAGTCTTCAGGACAAAGCTGCTTGTTTCAGCGGTGATGAGATGAATGGTACTCTTAATGAACACCCAATAGGATTGTCCTCTGATGAACATAATGAGTATTTTGTGGTTAGACACATGCTCTGAGACACAGAGCACGATGGCTAGTTACTGTTGAGTCTGATTATACCTTTCCCCACTGCCCCAGCCCAAGTCGTTCTGTGAATTACCAGAGAAGGCTGATTTGTACTCACTTCAAAATCTAGGTTGAGAACTTGTGGCATCTGTTGTTTGTTTCCACTTTTCTGTTCTTCCTCCTGGTCACTGGTCTTCCCCAGGTGTGCTAGACATTGCTGTTTTCTGGTCAGGATTGACTGAGGCTGGAAAAAAGTAGGAAGAAAGGTAGAAAAGAGAAGGGTCACTTATGTATTCAGATGATTTCTCTCTGCAAAATTCCATGAGTGGCAGACACTTTGGGAGTAAAGTTTTCTTATTTCTTATACAGGGTTTTAGAATTATCCTTAAACCAAGGCAAATATAGAATCCTTACTAAAGTTTGCATGATGCTTAACTGTTGGTAGGACATAAGCAGTGCTTTAAAAAGTGAAACATGTCAATCCTGTTCGCTCCCCTTTTTAGATAAGCCTCTTTTGGAGTAAACGGAATGCCGAACCATCTGAGACAGTCTCTCTTAGGGTCGCTGTGACACAGCCTCATTCGCTAGTCGGGATTGTAGCTGTCGATAAAAGTGTGAATCTGATGAATGCCTCAAATGATATTACTATGGAAAATGTAAGTTGAATTTTTTTGATGGAAAAAATGCATGTTAAACGAGAAAAATAAAATTTAACATATCATTTCAAGTATCTGGAAGACAGTTTATTAATTCACCTTAAAATGTAAATATATTATCATTATGTATTCCAAATACAAAAATAATCTGCATCTCAATGTAATGTTAGAAAGGCTTATACAATTGTGTCTTGTCTTACTAACAAGTTTCACCAATAACTCAAGTACTAGGAAATTCACTAGCACAATTCTTGATAACATTAGAAAAGTATTAGATAACTTTGAAATATTTTGGTTACAAGTTTTGTTCATAAGTAATTACAGGGATTTGCAGTATATTGGGGGACTAAAATGACTCGTATTAATCTACTTTAGACAATTTACAAACTAGGAAACATATGAACAGGTAGTATTATATTAACTAAGCCTGCTTTCATTAGTCATTTTATTTTTTAATCCTGATATATCCTTGTTTGCCATTCTCAGTCATAATCTAAATTTATGACCTATGTCCATTGATTGATGAGTGCAGTGATTAACAATATACCAGGCAAAATGTTTGTGGTACTTTGGTCATTCGCTTGTAAAATTAATATACTTGAGAAAAAGCCTACATCTTTTTTAAGTCTACAAAGCTAATTTTTCTCAAGATTGTTCTTGTTTTTAGAAAATTATTTTATTATTTTTCTCCTCTTTGACCTTTCCTAAATTAACATTATTCATAAAAGTCTATAAATCTATCGCTGACAAATCAACTCTGACTGATAGTGAGTGACATTGTAGGACAGAGTAGAACTGGCTCATCGGATTTCTAAGGCTGTAATCTTTATGGAAGAATACTGCCACATCTTTCTCCCATGCAGCATCTGGTGGATTTGAACCCCTGACTTTTTGGTTAGCAGCTGAGTGGGTTAACAAAGGCATCCCTGGGCTCTTAGAACTTTCTAAATATCTTTGTAAGTATTTGTTTCATTTTTTTTCTTCCCAATAGCTTGTGAGTTATGAAGGCTGTTATCA